TTTTGTTTGTTAAGCTAGTAGTGGTGGCGTGTAGTGTTATTGTTTTTTTGTGCGGGGGGGGGGGGGGGGGGGGGGGGACGAGTTTCATTCAACATGTTTGTTTGTTTTTTAAATGAAACATTTGGATTTTTCCATTTCAGAACAACGGTTTGGAGGCCACATGTAGTTGGATTTGATTTGTTTTCAAATATTTTTACAAAGCAAATAGTGCAAAACTGAAATCAATGTTTTCTTTCAGGCCAAAAGGATTTCCTCGGTTTTTCATTAAAACAAACAAGCAAACGACAACAGAAAAAAAAAAAGTTTTGGTTTTGAGTAGAGAAAGAAAAAAATATATATATTTGGGATGGTTTTTTTCGGTCCCCATATCAAAACACGTACATCTAACTTGCACCAAGTGTCTACCAAAGATGTCTTCTAGATCTACAAAACTTCATTGATTACCTCTGGGGTAAGATGCAGCCACTTACTCGCACACAGCAAGACCGGCCATGGGAAGAAAGAACAAGAGCATGCACAAAGGCATCCACAAGGCAATTCAGGCTGGCTGAACATCACCTACATTTGACTGGCATTTCATTATTCATTCTCCGACCCTAGTAAAACCACTTTGAGATCATTAATGATCTAGCAGTCTTCTGTTCTATCACTCTCACAAACCCAGCATATCCCACTCCTCCGAAGCCACGCAAGGGCAGTAGTTCTGACAGAAGTGTGGGGAACTGCACCTTTCAATGGCTCCAGCATGAGCCAGACGGAAGCAGTAGCTACATTGTGCAAGGTTCAGATTGCGCAAGGGTGAACTACTAAAACTCAGAGCCACTGAAAGAGGCTGACCCAGGCCTGCTGCATTCCTCTCACTGGTTACTGAACAGCATACAAACAGAGCTGTTACTAACTCCCTACAGCACATGAGCTCTCCCCTTACCACTCCAGCTCTCATCATGCCCTGAGTCCTCACCATTTGACAGCTCCATGAGCTGTGGCTTCCCAGAGGGCTGCTTCATACATATGGTGTTCCTCACCCTCTCAGAAGAAAGCCTCCAGCTTAAAAAAGAGTGACCCAAGCCAAAGTCCTTTCCAATGTGCCTGACTTCCAAGGCCTGGAAACAGGCCTCTCAATTCTACTCATAGCATATGCCAGCCTTGGGTTTAAAACCGCAGTTCAGAATGAGGAACCGCGTGTCATGCCTGGAACAAAACAGAAGTTCATCCAGAAGAAGCAGGACTCTGATGTGGGGGGTTGAGGAGGTCCTATTAAGGAGGGACGGTGTTGAAGATCTTCAGGCTGCGGGAGGGCACCCAGAGGGTACGAGGCAATCTGACTTGGGGGAACAGCAGGGGACAGGGGACTGTAGTGTGAGCAAGCAGGGAGATCTAAAAGGGGCATGGGGAGTCTAGGACAGGGATGGACAGTGTCTCTATAACTGGAACAGGAGCCTGTTAAGAGTTGCTGGGAGAAGTGAAAACATAGGGAAACCTATGCTTGAAGAGCAAGTTTAGAGAGGAAGGAGAAGCAGAGCACATAGCTGCTACATCACATTTTAGGATGCTTAGGCAGTTAGTCAGAAAGTAGTCACTGTGTAGACCCTTGTTCAGAGACACGTGCTTTTGTAGATGACTACCTACTTCATAAGATGCTATTTTAGTATATTTATCCTGGTATCCTGTTAGCTAAGTACAGCAACCTCTTCTCCTCTCTACCAATCTTAGAGCCCAGAGAACACTTTGGGAATAACCTCTCCCTCCAGCCCTAATGCCCATCTGAGGGCTACCATAGCAGACTGCATTTGGAAGGCAAAGGTGTCCCTAAGTGGTAACGCCTGGGTGAGAGCAGGTGGAAAGGAGCCCTTACCATCTCCCAGAGCCGGTGCCGGTTCAGCGAGATCACCACCATGGTGGGCCTCACCAAGTAGCCACCTTCATTGAAGGAGAAGTCCCGGTGTTCCCACGTCACATTCAGCATGTGGCTGGTTGGGATTGAATGAAAGAGACAGGGAGAAGGTCAGGACAGGGAGAAGCTTCCCAGACCTGGCTAGAGATCTCCCGTCCTCTCTCCAGCCCACAAACAGCACGTCTGGCTCATCCAGACTTCACCCAGGCCTCTCCCCATCACATCTCCGCAGTCTATCGGGCAGGTTCACCTAGCGCAGGAAGTGCTATGCTGAGGAGTGAGGGCTGGGCTCTGCCACAGACTGGGTGTGGGATCTTGGTATAGTTACCTCCCTGCTGTGTGCCTCAGTTTCCCCAGCTGTCAAACAGGGACAAGGCTGCCCTGTCTCCAGCCAGCACTTTAAGGGCTAGGGTGGGCAGTGCTATACAATGGTATGTATGTGTATGTATATATACTCAGGATGGGGTAACTCATTTGGGGTACAGCAAGGACCTGCAGACAAGCACATCCTGATAGCAAATGTAAAAAGAAAAGAGACTGGTGTGGGGGGGAAGATGAGGAGACGCGTCTAACTTCAGCTGTCATCGTAGCATCAAGAGGCTGGATGTTAAGTCATCAATCCACTAATCAGCCTTGCCAGGCTTCTGCCCTCCTCTCTGGTTTCCTTACAGTCCATGAGTTACAGAGGGAGGCAGAAAGGCACAGGCAGCCCCTCAGGCAACGTAGATGCACAAGAGGAAATCTGAGACCCAAGGACCTTAAACCTCACCCCCATCCTTTCCCCCAATGGTGTGAACCACAAGCCACGCAGAGGCAAGTGGGAGAAAGGACAGAACACTCCAAACCAGCAACTCGGGGGTGCGAGGTGGGGGCAGGGTGGGACAGGGAGCGGCAGCAAGGTCACTGGATTGGCACAGCGCCTGTGGATGAGAGCCGAGTGCCAGCATGCACAGCTGCAGCGCACGAGACCAGCCTGGTGACTGGTATCGCTCCCAATCAGCATCACTCCTTCAGGCAGGCTCCCACCCCAGCTGCCTCTCTCCTTCTCCCTCCAGCTCCTTCCCTCCTTTATCCAGCCACCCGCACCCACCCCCGCTTAACGATAAGATGGAGACTTCCAGGGGCTGAGACACCCCCACAGCCCAGATCTACCTAACCCAAAGCCCTTGTTTAATTACTGAGGGTCACGCCCCAGGTATGCTCATTAGAACCTGGAAATTAAAACCGCCATGCTTGGTGAGCTCCTTCCTGCTTCTTAGTCTGGTCCCATCCTCTCCCCACCTCACCCTGCTCACCTGCTCCCTCCCGCTCTTTCCCCTCCCTCGGCTCCTTTTCTCCTCGCTCCAGGTCTGTGGTGACCACCCAGTCCCACTTGATGCTTTTGCACTGAGAACACGGTGGAAAGAGGAGAGCAGGTTTTAATCTCTGTCTCTGGCAGCCAGCTGGCAGTGCAGACCCATGCACAAGCCCCCAGGCTAAGGGTCTGGGGACTGAAGTGGTCTCTCCAGCTCAAAGCTAACTACAAAGCATCCTTGCTCCCCAAGATGTGGAGCCCAGGACTTATTTATTCCCTCTCTCTTTCAGGCCCCAGGCCCTATGCCTTCCTGAGGCCTCCCTTGCATCTGGTGGAGTCCACCCTCATGCAGTAGATACCATGACCCCCACCCAAAAGGGGTTTCCCTGACCCCCACCATGCAAGCTGCCAATGCCAGACATGGATGGAGGCCACCTGGAAGTAGCTCTCCTGTGCTGACCTGTAGAAGGTGCTGTTTGTGACAGTGCTGGGAGGTGTCTTACAGTCTTTGCCCACGTCTGGGAGGTGCCCGCGGGTCCTGTAGTAGCTCAATGCCCCCATGGCAATGATGGCCACGCCATCCCGGACCTTCTGCCGCAGGCTCATCTTCCAGCTTTCGGTCACCACGCTGATGAGACCGATGGGGAACGAGACTGGCGGGACCTCCATGTTCCCCACCGTCAGGCTGGGCACAATCCAGACATAGCCAGGACCAATCAAGCCGGCCTCCTCTGCCACCTGGAAAAGGTACTCAGCCTCCTCCCGTGAGCAGTACACAATCATCACCTGAGCATCAATCTGCCGCAGCAGGCGCTGGGTTTTGGAGTTACTCCCATCCTGGGTCATCTCAAAGGTCAAGACATCCTGGAGTTCCCAGCCAAAGTAGCTGGCATCTGTGAAGGAACGGATCACATCCAGGAAGATGTTGTACCCAGGGTACAGACTGGTGATGACCGCAAAGGAGCCCCAGTCATATTCCTCCAAAACCTTGAAGATGACCTGGATCTGCTGCTCGATGGAGACCCCCAGCTGAAGAAAAGCAGAGCCAGGTTCCTGGAGGGGAGAACCACGCCTCAGAGGCAGGACAATGGGTTAGCAGGCAGTGCAGCACAAATAGCCCCCCAGGTGTCAGTCTTCTTGCTCTCTGCAAACCTTCACATGCTCCAGACATCACTAGGGAGACACCACCCCCAGCCCCAACCCTAACTACAGCACTGACAGACAGCCCAGTCCAGCAGATGCAGCTTGGGCTAAGGGAAAGGGACTCTGTCGCCAACTCAGCCACCAGACCCATGACTGACCCTAGGCATGTCACTTCACTTTCTTGTGTTTCAGTCTCACATGCAACCACAAAAACAGGGGTCGCAGCCAGCAGCATAACTTCCTGGGCTCCAGAGAGCAGGGAAGCTTAACAGCAGAGGATTGTTACTACAGCTGCTATTCTAACCCTGCAGCCCCCACCCCTTTCCTTTATCTGCTGTCACTATTGTCCACTCCCAGTCCTGTTGTCCTCCCTTAATTTCTTAGCCCATCCCTCCAATACACTTCATTCTTCAAAGCAAAGGACAAGTCCACAAGGTGATGGGATGTGAACTGCCCCTTCAGCTTCATTCTTGCTCTGCTGCTCTGTCTTGATATGGATTTTCCTGCTATCCAGTTTTCCCATACCTTATCATTTATCCCTCCCCCTCTGACTGTGCCCCCTTCTTCTTCCTAATCCAACACTTCCCATCCCTTATCCTGTACCTTCTACAATCACAGATTCTCACAATCACCAGGTCCCAAATCTCTTCCATTTCCCATGTTGTATATCCAGGACCTTCCCTTTCCTGCCCTACGTCTCCTGTGATACCCACTCCAAGACCCACATTTCATTTTTGATCCTACATAACCTGGATTTTGCCAATCAGAGCAAATCACCTGCAAGGAGCTAGGAAATGGAGAAAGCCCTAGCACTTTAGCACACTTGTTCCATCAGAAATGGGCGAGTGAGTGAAAGGATTATTTCTAGGATTAACATTTCCTTTGACACAATTTATCCTTAATTTAATGTTTCTGCAACTTCAAAGGTGCCCAACATTTTTTCATTCAAATCATTAAAAAAAATTAAACATTTGTGTGAAAAGAATAAACCTTCCTGATGAGTTACATTCTGTTCAGCTCATTTTACAAATCTATACCTGCCCCATACCCACCTTTCCTTTCCAAAGGTCCCACTGGCCACCTCCTTCCCCGCTACCCTCCAAGCCATCTGTCACTCTTGTTAGCAAATTTTAATTGATCTGATTCCATGCTAAACGAGTTACAAAATAGAATTTGCAAAAGGTCATGGAGGAGGCAGTAGGATTTTTTTGGTGCAAAGAAGCTGCTTCTTTAAATTATTTTTGCCAACGAGACATGGCTGCACAGAAGGTGAATTCCCAGATAATTCATCATTAGTGGGTGGATAAATCGGTGGGAAAGAAGAGATTCCCCTGGGTTTGAGAAGTCTGTTGTATAGGAGTTTACTAACAAATAAGAAACAGCTCCAAAGAAGGAGAAGCAGGGCATGTCTGCAAGCAACCAAGAACATTCCACTCCCCAGAAATAAACCCTCCAAAAAATATCAGTCGAGTCCACTGGGAGAGAATGAGAAGGAGTAGAGAAAGCTGCAGCTGCCAGGTCCAGAGCACAACAAATTCAGGGATTATTTGTAATCAACTGGGTCTAGCTCAAGGTACTTCGCAAGATTAAGGGCATCAGATCCTCTCCAGGAGTCCCACTGGCCTTAACACTTGTCAATTTTTTAGCAAAAAGTTTGTGGCCACAATTGAACTGCAAGTTTGACTCATGCACATGTAGCTGCTTCATGGGATCAGCAAAGCAGGAAAGCAGACATGTCATTAGCATCAATTGTGCCTAGGTGCAACATTTCAGGCATAATTGTTTGCAGGTGTGAATCTGGACCTAAAGAACTGGAAGCTCAGATAAGGACCTTTTCCAAACATTAGGCTTAAAAGCTCTTGGAGACTCCAAGCTGCCGACCAAAACATACATGAAGGCTTTGAATACACAAGAGACTGGGCTCCAGGCATCGCTTCTCTGTTTAATGCAGTGAAATTCTAGGGACAAATCCTGCAAAGTCTGTGCAGAGAACTCTTGCTGAAATCAAGAAGTCTGCATACATAACAATGGCAGGGTCAGGCCCAGACTCTGTATAGGGGCATTGGTACAAGCAGCATCCCAAGAGGTTTTATAGTTAGAGGCACACAATAAAGGTTAGCAGAGAGGAAAGAAGTTAAGAGGTGCATCCTACAGAGAGAGAGAAGAGACTGTCACTGCAGAGCTTTGAAAACCAGATGATAGATGGATAAAATGCAAAAAAGCTGTTTGATACGGAAGGATCCATGAAGGACAATATTTTTGCAACACGAGTGCCCAGATGCTAATGTAGGGGGCAGAAGGGCCAGTAGTCAGAAGGGCAGAGAGAAGGCAATAGAGGCAGATAAGGTACAGGAGGTTTGGAGCTGGCCATGGCAGGCATGTGAGCCAGCTCCTTCATACACTGTCAATGCTACTCCTTAAACTCCAGTGCCAGCAGGAAGAGGAGAGGAGCCCCAAATCCCCTATCACAAAGAAACCGAGTTATCCTAGTGCTGTAGAGCCCTGTCCCCTGGCTGCAGGATGATCAGAGCTGGGTCTGGAACCAGACCTGGATGTTCCTTGTGCTGAAGAAAAGCAACCTGGCTACATCACTGAAATGTGCCATCAAAAATAAGGAAGGTCCTTCCTCCTTGTCCTAAAATCACTGCTAGTGCCACAACCTGGGCCTCTTCCTCAGATCAGGGTCCTAAGCCCAGCTCACAAGCTGCCCCTTTTAGGCTGGGTCTTTCCCAGATGGAGCTAGGCTGGTTAATGCCAAGATTCAAGCTGCTTCTGGCTGGGGAAAGGGCTCCAGGCCCCACTTTGGGTCACAGCACTGGGCAGCCCAGGCCACCTCCCTACAAATCCCTCTGCAAGAGCCAACACTGCCTGCAATGGAGCACTTGGGCAAGGTCTCATCCCAGGCCCTCACCAGTGTAAAGAGGTAGACTGGCCTGTTTTTTTCTACTGAGTTTTCCAGGCCAGCTGAATACACCAACTGCCCATGAGAACCTGGTACTGAACCACCACGAATGCCTGCCACGAATAAGGCCCAAGGAGATCTTTATACATCCCCCCACAAGCACATGATGGTAACAGCGGATGACACCCAGTGATGGGCAAACAACTATCACCCAGTGTGTGGCCCAAAGCACCCTGCAGCAGCCTGGGCACTGGGCTCACCTCCGCTGGACTGGGCTTGGATGCTACCTCGCCCGCCTGAGCTGAATTTCAGTGGGTCTTACTGGGGCAGAGGCAGTCCTGGGAGCTCTGAATGGTCTGCTGTGACTCTGGATGCCTTTAACTCTTGCTAAATGCAGTCAGAGGAGGGTGCTTAGGGCCTTACTGAATAAGGCCCCAGGCAGGAAAGCTCCAGGAGTCAACAGTTGGGGTTGTCTGGTTCTGGCAAGTTGGGGCGGGGGGAGATATACCAGCAGAGGAAAGGGATTGGCCTTGTTTTCACGCAGCTCTGCCCTGTCCCTTCCTTTTAGTATCTCCTTTCAGCTTCATTTAGTCAGCTTCAGCACTGCTCCAGACTGCTGGCCCTTGCACCCCCACCCCATCCAATTCCTATTTCCTTCCAGTGCTCTCCCCCAGTCACATCACACACACACGCCAGGTATCTCAGTCTCAGACCTTCTCCCAACAGATTAACAGCAACTGCTGCCAGTGGATGGAGTGATTTCTTTGATTCAAGCTGAAGTCCCTAAATGTTGCCCCCCCGCCACAAACTTAAACCCAACAGCAGGACAAACAGGGATTAAATCAGAAGGTTCACTGCTAAACTGAAAGGAATCTAAGGTCTAATCCTAAGAGATGCTGAGCACCAAGCACTCCTTTAGACCTAACACTTCTGGACACAGCTGGCTGAAACGTGTCATCGTGCACATGACCCTATTTCACAGCACCAAGTGGGCCCAGACCTGCAGCCTGTTAGATGAAAGGCACACCAGTTCCCTGAAGCCCCCTCAGCAATGATAGAGCTGGTGTCACCTTCCCTCTTTTGAGTCAGAAGAGTTTGATCCAGGACCATAACGGCTCCCTGAATTTGACTTCACATCTCTGTCTTGCCCATGCTATTACTGGTGACAGCTGCATACACAGCCACTGAAGAGGCATATATTTTCAAAAATGAGCTCTCAGAGGTGCTTAACAAACCCTGTTACTGCCTCAGTCTCTGCAGTGGTGAGCAATGCCAGGGTCTTAGTGGCAGCTGTCACTTTCCAGCAGGAGTGCCAGTGTGCAGACATAGGTCAGGACTCAGGGAATACAGCGTCCATGTAAATGCATGAGAGAGAGAGGGACTTTCAGTGGAGTCAGAGGACAAGCGTTACTTTCAGAGGCTTGGGAGGGAGAGCAGCAAGAGTTATCTACCACCCAGTATATAAGCTAGCTGCTTATTTTCTTCAGTTAAGCTAATCAGAGCATCCTTGAATGCTTGAAAAGTGCCTGGCACATAGTGGGCACTACCTGAAATAGGTCATAACAGTCGTAGATCTTCTGTTAGAGTCTCTTTGATGCCCTCCAGCTTCCCTATAAATTCAAATGCAGGTCTGCATTGCCTAGCTCTTAAACATATATCATTGGATTGCTAGCACAACTTCCTGCCAGGCTGCTGTGTATCACAGGCACTGTGGGCAATGTGGGAGCAATTTGCTCTTCCCTGCAAATAGCGATCAGAACATACACACAAATTAGGAGCCAGACCTTTCACTGATGTCAGCTTGACTTCTCTGGAACCAATCTGATTTATGCTCATTGAGGATGGGGTCCCATTGCTTTAAGCAAATAAAACAAACTCACTAATTTCCCCTCCTCCTCCCTGTCACCCAATAGACCCGACAAGGAAAAGATGTCACCTTTGGGGTCAGGACTACAGCCGAGCCTCCACTGATGCTGATGATGGGGACGTGGGTCTGGGAGGATATGAAATCCAGGATCTGCGCCACGGCTTCCGTGCCAACGTTGTCCTCAAAGACAATGCCGTGGATCTTGTGGCTGGAGAGAATGTCGCAGATCTGGGTCAGGAGGGTGCTGGGGTTGGTGTTGTTCACGATCACCGTGATGGGGTGGATCTCCAGAGGCATGTCCAGGAAGCTCTGGGGAGTCAGACGGCTGCGGACGTGGAGAGGGTATGAAGAGCCCCCGAACACCACTGCAACGTTGACCACTGGCTCCTCGGGGCCGGGCAGCAGGATGTCCATTATGACCGCGGAACAGCCCAGCACCATGGACAGCACCAGAGTGTGTGTCAAAACTCTGCCCATGTCCACTGCCGAGTATCTGCAAACCCAAAGCCAACAGAAAGCATGGGCGACAGAGAAAGCCGCGAAGCATGCTTACCCCGCATAAATCAACCCGGGAAAGGAGCTGTTGAGGATGCCCTGAGGGGAGCCCTGGCACAGCCCTCAAGACCTAGCTTTCTTGTGCTCAAGAGTGGTGGCTTGAAGCACCCAACGGGTGTCCCTCATTGCCTCTTTACAGCAGTTGATGTGTGTCGAGCAGGAGGAGCCAGTGGGTGGACCTTTTTCCTCAGCAGCATCTTGCCACCTTGGTGGAGACATTACCCATCTAGACCAGAGCCTTCATCAGGATGGGCAGCAAGCTGACCCCCCCACAGGTACTGCCATCACCTACAAGCCACTTCTCCTCCATGAAGTCACAGATCTGCCTCCACACAACAGTGGCGCAACCCCACTCCATTTTATCAGCAGCTGCTCCATGGGGATGACATGCTGGATACAGCTATCCAGGTCTCTAGGCCTTTCTGCCTCTATAGCAAGACCACCCTTGGCTTCCCACCTCCCACCTCTGTTTCATGGGCTGCTGATCTCACACTTTTCCCCCTTTGGATGCTTAGTCCCTCATTTCTCCACCACACTGCTTTCTAATTAGCTGGCTGATAGCCATGAGTCCCAGCCTTAGAAGGACAACCCCTCCACAGAGCAAAAGCCTGGAAAGGCTAAGTTGGGTCTTTTTGCTCATACATTTCAAAGCCAAAGCCCAGGAATTGTTTTGAAGTGAGCCCAGCCCTGGGGAAAATTGTCAGAGTGAGACACAGGGCTTCAGACAATGGGTGCTGATGAGCACTCATAGGAGATGAAACGCTGAAGCCCCACACATCAGGATGAAGTGATTCCTCCCCTCAGCAGCAATTTTTTTTCTAGGTGAGGCCTTCTGTGCTCCTAGTACTCTGCACACAGCATGTACCAAAGTGGAGCATAGACTGAGGAACAGTCACAAGATCCTTCTCCAGGCTGACCCATCCTCCTGGCCATGGACAGGTTGAAGGAGCTGAAGCCCATGGGGCAGCCTCTAGTGGGATCTACCTTTCCATCACACCCCGAGTCAGTGCCCCTTCCTGTGTGAAGCCAGTGGGAACTGTGCACACAGAATTAACACAGATCAGGACCGCAACATCCAGTACCTAGTCATCACTGACAACAGTCCACTTGCTCGCCCACCCCCGTGCCCTGTTCCCACTGCTTGCTCAGTCTACCCTCTCCTCCCAGGCCTCACCCATCTGCCCATCCAACAACTACTGCTCCTCAGGACTTCACCCACCCACCCAAGTGCCATGTTCCCCTTGCTCTCCCCATCTCCAATGTCTGTTGGCTCCTTTTACTCCACACACAGGTTCCCATGCTGCTTCCTAAGCTGTCATTGCTGTGAAAATCCCTTTTATTTCCTTTTTCCCTTCTGTTTTAAATAGCTGTGTTTTATCACATGTGAGGGAGGGGGTAGACACAGGCAGAAGATACAAAGAATTGGAGGTGCCGCTGCCTGGCTCCTTGTACAGCTGACAATCACTAAAATATTTAAAAGCAAAATTCTCCCATCCAATCCATCCCTTAGCTCTTTCATCTGCACTGCAGATCTCTACTGCATATTGTGCACTCAGTGCCACTGCCGGCAAGAGGACATTGCCCTTAGCCTTGTAAGTAATGCTTGGGCTTCTTCCTCCTCCTCCAATGGGACAGAGTGGAAGATCAGTGCTAGCTATCTCCCCCTCTAGTGGCCAGAAGCCCACAATGAGGATAAAAGCCTACTCAGAGCTGACAGAGGACCCACTTTAGCTGATGGGACAGAGCATTGGGAGTTTAAGATCCCCGTTTCTAATCCCGAGGGCATACATGTGTGGTGAGACTGATGATCATAATGCCACTCCAAACCCCCAGGCCCTGTTCCCTGGAACACAGATGCTGGAAGCTCACTGAGGTGCATAAGATACACCAGAGACATAAGATGCTTTCACACCAGTGGGAACAAGGCACAGACACAGCGTAAACCTGTACACCAGGCAAATTTACCAGAATCCAGTATTACTGCAGGAAAAAGAGCAGGAAAAAATCTATTCTTGCAATGGTCGTGTGTCTGCCATTAACCTGGCTTTAGCTGTCCACTCAATGCAAGCAATCCATTACATGCACGCCCACCACCAACCTGAAGCCTACGAAGGCAGCTACCCCAAAGGTCATCTATCCACTTCAGATCCCCCAGTCATTTACACTAATGTGCAAAGCCAGTTGCGCTTTCCATGTTTCTGCCAAACAGAAACCATGAACTCCTGTGTCACTCGCTTACAAGGGGCATCAATGGGCACGTGGGAGCCGTCAGAGGCAAAGGGGTTAACTAAAAACACAGTTCTTCTTGCCTCCGTCCTTCCCCTCTCCCCATACCCTTTGTTCCTAAGCAGCTCCGTCTGTCTCTGGGCACCCTTGAACATTTTTATATTATTTTAAATGATCTTCGGCAGCAATACTGTCTGCTCCCCTCAGCCCTTCCCCCAAAGCTCCTGCCGTCCCCGCGCTGTCAGCTACCAGACAGCTGCTTGCCTTCCGTTTCAAATAAAAATATGTATTTCACAGGCTGATAGGCACCTTCGGTTCCAGCCGCTCAGAGATTAAGCACCGAGGGTAATAATAAAATATTTAAATGTTTGAGGGGAAAAAATTAGCTCTAACTACTCCGGGGAAAGCAGAGGTTTTAGGCAGCTAATCCTGGAAAGCCACCACATGTGACAAAGCCCTGAGAAGTTACAGAAAGTTCTAATTCCTATCAACTTCAGCTCCACTGGAAGCTAGAAAGGCTCTTTAAACTCGAGACACTCCTGGTTATTTTACCTGCGGGTCTAGGGAGCCGAGGAGCCCGCCTGCAACGATGGCCATCCCTAGTTGTGAGCATCTATGAGGCACACGTTTCCCCTCCCTGCACCGAGGGTCTCTCTGAAAGTTTCATTGTGTCCCGATTACCACTGGATGAGGCCAATGGTTAACCTACTTTGGCCTCCTGTGTCTGACAGCAGCCAGTGCTAGATGCTTCAGGGGACAAGGAACCCCAGAGCAGGTAATTATAAAACAACCTCAGCAGCAGGGTACTTTCTACTCACCCCTGTCAGAAGTTGATTTATGTTTCTAAACCCTCCTGGTTCAGTGCAGCTTACAAGTATGGGGTGGAAGGGATCTGCTGGGTCATGGAGTCCAATCCCAAGCAACCACATCAACTAATCCTCTTCATAAACTGATGAAGCTCCATCTTAAAGAGAAGTTTAGTTCTTTTTTTTGCCCCCCCACCTCAGTTAGATACTAATTTCCAGCCTAAATTGATTCTGGCCAGTTTATGCCCATTTGTCTTTGCGCCAACATTGTCTTCAGCTGAAAGAGCTCTTCTCCCTCCCTAGCATTTACCCTCGTGTATTTATAGAGAGCAATCATATCTACTCACAGCCTTCCTCTTGCTAAGCTGAACAAGCCACGCTTTTTTTAGTCTCCTCTCATCAGACAGACCCTCCATTCCTTTGATCATGCTAGTAGCCCTTCTCCGCACCTGCTCCAATTTGAATTCATCTTCTTTCTTTTTTTTAATCTGGGTGACCTGAGCTGTACACAACCTTTCACCCATCCCAAGGCTTGATCCCTGATTTGAAAGCTAGTGCCTCATCCAGTCAGCTACTGAGCCTGCGAGACCAACATCTGAAGTCGCTATCACGAAGATGGTCCGGCGAGGCGGGGATTGTGCCAGCTCATCTCCCATTCTGATGTTTATCCCAGGCCTCAATTCTGACCCACTTTTGACTTCACAACCCTGGTGCACTGTTCTGAGATGTATCCCTAGCTTGTTGCCCCGTGGGAAGCCTATGGATAAACCAGCAGATCTTTACCGCTGGGTGACTCGTTTCCAAGACAGACCTTTTTCAACACTGCTCCTGCTGCCAGGTGCTTCCAGGGCAGAGCTGCTCTCAGTTCCATCTTAAACTGCACAAAAGAATCTGTTCTTGTTTTACCCTGCTGCTTCCCTCCTCCGGGCCTCATCCTGTTCCCAGAGTCAATGGGAAAACTCTTTCTGTTTGCAAAAACAACAGGGTTGAGCTTCAAATCACAAAGGCCCCAATTATGGCCCTGGGATCCAAGCATAGGTCTCTTTCTCCTGCCTAGAAATGAGTTGCTGATGGAGCTTCATCCCCCATCCCAATTCCTCCTCCTGAAGAAGGTGCTCAGAGGTCCAGAAATCACACAAGGAAAGAGAAAAGCTGGCAGAGGAGCTGAGATGCACCATAGGAGTCACAGTGAAAATGACCCAGCTCCAAGGACAGCCCCTCCATTATGGAGCATAACCCCTTAAAGTGGGTACCAGAGATAGTTGCAGGCTGCAGAACTGTGGCAACAAGAGGACACCTGTTGGGTGTCACAGAAGAGCTAGTCTCCCACTGATCCACTGCCAAGCTCCACCATCTCCTTGTAGAGCTCAGAGAAGCCCTAAGATTAGAGACTGGACCAACAGCTTGCTTTAAACCACGGGCCCAAGCTACATCCCCACCCTCCTGGCTGAGATTTTGGAAAGCACATCAGGGCATCCAGCCTTGAGCCGCAGAGTTCAGCACTGGCCTCCTGCTTCCCAGGTCACTGTGGCACTTCTGGACACAGCTGGCTGAACCACGGCACCGTGCGCATGACCCTGAGTGGCTTGCGTACAAACCATCTGTTCCTCACACAGACACATTGAGCCTGTTCCAGCAGGGCCTTGATCCTGGCTGGGAGCTCCAAGCACCACCGTACGAGAAAGAAACAGTGGTCAGTGAAAGAGCCACGGGGCCAAGGAACTACAAGATTTGCATTCAGATCAGATGCCTCAAACCCTGCCCCTGCCCCCACTCCTACCCCAAGGTGTTGGGGATCGGGAGCCCTGGGGAGGCCCATATGCATGGTTTTGATTTGTATTTGGATCCAGATTCTGAGCCCTTATGCGCACACTCATGCCTGCCATCTGCG